ACTTTCACTCCGCGTGAGTTTATCAACATCTGCTCCATTCTGTGGCTCCTTAATGAAGATCAAACTACAGGCTGGCTGGCCAGAAAGACACCAGCTACAATAAACCCTGGCGATGAACAACCCAACCAAACAGCCGGCTGCTCAACCAATAAATATGCAGGAGGAAATAGAGATGGATTGGGTATATGCCACTGAGGAGGCCACCGAATGACATCACGCGCAGTGCAGGCCGCCTCTCCAGTGAAATCCCAATGAGGAACGAGCGACGAGTGGGTTGTCAGTGTGAGGGTGGCATGGAAGAGAGAGGAGAGAAGGGATTATGATCAATCGTGGCCTCAGCCAGCTGAATAGGAGAGTAGAAAATAGAAGAGAGTAGAGATGTGTTGCCGAAGACCTATGTTCCACTCACTATCAAAGGGAATAATGATAGTAATAATAATTAGAATTATGAAGCAAGTAGTAGGTTTCTTGATTCGTCGTCGGCGTTGATTAGAAAAGGCACCCAGGATGTGTGTTTTATTTCTAGTTTACAGTGGTACATCCACTAGACAAACTTCAAGTAGGATGAAATCATGAGCTGACATCAGTTAGAGAACCATTGGAAAACCCACTTGGGAGTACTGGACAGCTGTTTCGTCAGCCTAGTTTGGGACTCTTCAGCAGTACGCACCCACACTGCGGGATTCGAACCCAGGACCTTCTGGTTACAACGCGAGCTCGTAGACCATTGAGCCACTGGAACCCGATCCAATGGTCCTTGAATTCTAACTTCTGCCAATTCACGACATAGCGTGACCACTTCGCAATGTCTTCTTCGATGAGTAGTTACTGCCTCATCTTCAACCTGCTGTACCCTACTGGTCACGGCTTCCCACTAGAACCCCAGACAGCTAACTGCCTGAATAGTGCCAGTCACTAGTGAGCACAGATACTTGAATACTTGAATCATTATTGTTAGATAACCTAAATCAAGTAATATCATATTCAAGGGAGGGATTGTCATAGTATCTGGATTAGGAGGTCAACATGTTCACAAAGACCGAATATTTATTTCCAATCAACAGGAAATTCATAATAATCTCAACAAATATCGAAAGTGATAGGTCAACCCTTTCTTTATTTTATTCCCTCACATTCCGAGTGGTAAAACACAGGGCGGTTTCAAGCCAGAGGTTTAAAGTTCCAATAGCAGTGGTGTTTATTTTTACGGGGTTAGGGGTTGCTAGGCCTTACTCCCAACCTTCTCTGTTTACTGGCCTTAATACCAGCTTATCGAGGGTGGAACCTCGGACCACGTGATACGTGGTTGGCGAGAGATCTACCAGTGAACACCGATAGGTTAACCAAAGGTGAAGTAATCATCGCTAATAAATATATGTTGGTATTAATAAAACACAAAACAATTGAGCAAAGATTATCCTCCTCAATAATTCCCTCTTCTGGCTCTACAATTATATATATACATGTTTATATACTCTGAATATTCTAGAATAGTAGTCAATAACAATATTAGTGTGTTTTTTTAAAATAATATCGATTTGCAAGGTAAGATCACAGTGAAATTACAGTTCATTCAAGATGCTTAAGTTATAATAATAATAAAGATATAGTGGAAAATAGAATATCAACTAAAATTAGGAAAATTCCACAAAAATCCAGAATCATTCAAACCTAGATGGCCAAGGTAAGGATAAATTCTGAACTAACTTCTTTTGGATGCACAAATTAGGCTTGTTAATATATATACATATATATATATATGTCCTTCAAAATGATATGGAGAGCGACTTGCTTAAATTGCTGAGCTATCAAAAATGTCCATCGATTAAAATCCTGATGCTACTGCTTAAACTCCTCTTCTCCACTTCTTATTGTTTTAATCGTGTAATTATATACATAAAATGATCAATACATGAACTCACGCGCACGCGCGAATATTTAATTAGCTTTTAACAAACAAAATGCTGTACAGTCCTTGAAGGAAATGAAGGAAGAACGTTCTAGAAACTAGAAAATGGTCCGTTGAAGGATGTTATTAATGAAGTTGAATTCTATTATCGGTACATGGGTGATACATTTTTGATTATGCAATATGAGAAGGAAACAAAGAACATTCTGGAAAAAAGTTTAACGAGTTTCATCCTGCAATAAATTTTACTATTGAGAAAGAAAAAAGATTCTAGTGTTCCATTTCTAGATGTCCTTATGACCAGAAAAGAGGATGGCGCAATAAGAAGCAGAAGTGTATATAGTAAACCTACATCAACTGACTGTCAGTATACTCATTTTCTCAGCTTCATGCCCTTGAAATACGAACGCAATCTGATAAAGTGCTTGGTCCGCCACAGAGCAAGAGAGCAATCTGCTCGGATGAATGTCTTGATGAGGAACTTAATATTATCAAAAAGTTGCTGAGTGGAAAAGGTTTCAACCGAGAAAATTCAATGATAAAAATATGAATCTAAAATCAAGACAGCCCACGGTACGAGCAGTTCCGAAAAAGGAAGGCCTTATTCTTACAAATTCAGTTAATCCGTAATGATAACATTTTAGCGAGATATTAACTCAACGCCTAAGTAATACGGTGGTAAAAGGAACATTCAGTGCCGCTGCTGAATTACGCAGTGTTTTCAAATCCACCACCTACCCTACCTATTTCGCGTTCGGGAGTAAAAGATAAACTTCCTAATTTTGCCTCTTCTTTCGATGTGTATTTATCACAATTTGACTGCTCCTGTGAAGTGAGCCAGTTAGTTGAAAAAGGCCACACAATCAGGCGTGTTTCTCGTCGGATTTCTGAACATCATCCTGCATAGTGGTTAAATAAAGAACAAACGAAATGCATTCACATCGCTATTCTATCTCATCTCGTGCATACATAACACAAGATTGATGTCAACAAGGCTGCTTTCAAATTCATTTACTGCATACCAACGAATCTTAACTTCACCTTAAGAGTTCGTCTAGTACACATATTGCTGAGGCTGACTGTTGGGATCCACGCTAATTAAGAAGCCTAACTTATGTCTCCGAAAGAAGTTGTTTCACACACTGTCCTAACCACCATGGTTATCTAAGTTCTAATGATCCTAAATTTTTTGATTGCATGGAGGATTTAATCATGAGCTGACATCAGTTAGAGAACCACTGGTCGCGCTATGTCGTGAATTGGCAGAAGTTAGAATTCAAAGACCATTGGATCGGGTCCCAGTGGCTCAATGGTATACGAGCTCGCTAGCCTTGTAACCGGAAGGTCCTGGGTTCGAATCCCGCAGTGTGGGTGCGTACTGCTGAAGAGTCCCAAACTAGGCTGACGAAACAGCTGTCCAGTACTCCCAGTTGGTCTTCCAATGGTTCTCTAACTGATGTCAGCTCATGATTAAATCCTCCATGCAATCAAACAAAATCCCTACAAAACCAATACCTAAATTTTTTGTAGAAATTTCCCTAATTTTGGTTGATATTCTATTTTTATGCTTACTATTATAATTTATGCACCTTCCTTGAACTCTGGTATTTCTATTGTGGTTTTGTTCTCTGAGCTGGATGGTTAGTTTGCGAAGCTTTCATCACCTTACTGGGTGACATCTTCAGCGCATACTTCAATTTGAAGGCACACTAATATTGTTATTGACTACTATTCTAGAATATTCTATGTATATAAACATATATGTATATATAACTGTAAAGGCGAAAGAGGAAATTATCGAAAAGGAATATTCTTTGCTCAATTATTTTGTGTTTTCTAGATGTCTGATTGAATATTTTCGTTATTTTTGAAATTGTGCATAAGTATAAATTGTGACTCATTGTTGATGATTATAAGTTGAGAACAATTTGAAATGTAGTAAAAGTGAAACATTTTGGTAGATAGAAAACTGAGGTAACCCATCATGTTTATCATCACAAGAAACAATCGATACAAGATGGTTGGAGGCAGCCAGCAAGAAACCCCATCTGACTTAGGTTCCATGCTAGTTGGTACTCACCAGTCAGTCAGCAAGGTAGGCGTATTTGCAAATGTCTTGAAGGAACTCATATCCCTTATGAGATTCGAAAACACCTCACCTCAGCCAATTGATGGTAATGGGGAAGGTGTGGAAAGAGGTCAAGGTACCTAAAGACTGGAAGGAAAGCTGTTTATTCAAATTGCCAAATAAAAAGGGGGCCTCAAGTCAATGTAAGAACTGGCACGGTATTATGCTCTTGTCCATCCCAAGGAAAAATGCTAAGCCGAATCATCCTGGAAAATTTTTTTGCTATATTGCTAGCAGTAATAGTAGTATATCTTTTTTTTTTTTTTAAACTTTACTTCGGCTATCTCCTACGGGAGGATGAGCCGGCTTCATGAACGTCTCGAATCATCGCTGCCCAGGCGCGGCAATTTGTAAGAGAGTTCATGTAGTTTCATGGGAATTTGGTACGAGTGATGTCCCCAGCGTCGCTCGGCCTTTTGTTTGAGAGTGCAGCTCTAGCCTTTACACAGCCAAGTGTGACCTACAAGGCAGTAGGAGTGGAGTAAGGAGTCCACTATCCATTGGCAGCCGGTGACCGGAGTTCGGTTCATACGCCTTTTTGAATGGGGCCAGACATCCAGGACATCCAACAAGCCCTTTGTCCATACGTCTGCCGGTGAGCTCCAGTAAGCTTCATACGCCAGTCGTTGGAGGTTTGGAATCAGGGTTTAGCCATCTCCCCTAGACTGTCATCCAATGGACAGTCAACCCGGTGAGGAGCGCCGGGCATCCGCTTTTGCCCTCTCACTTTGGTGAGAAACACCTCCGCCACGTGAAGGCAGTGAGTAGGACTTCCTCAGGAGAGGCTATGTAAGACGCCCGGTCATATGGGAGCATTTCAAGAGGTGTGCGGAGGGGTGGCCAACCCGCAGCGCAAGGCACCCACCCCCGACCATCCTGAGGCTTTGGAGGCTTAGTAGTATATCGCATAATAATAAATAAAAATACAAAATATACAATAATCTACACATAAGAATAATTTACTTCGACATTCTCCTTTGTAAGCGATTCTCACTTCTAGTTGGTTTTTCAGACCAGCCAACTTTAATTCACAACTATTATAAAATGTTTCATTATCTGTACTACACACTGGTTCTTGAAATGTTGACTCTGGACACTCTTGAACTGTCAGCCATGATTTTTGACTCCAATGTTCACATGCTGGACGTCCATCGAATTGACGTAATAAACAGTATTCATCACGATTGCAGATCAATTCTTTAGGCGGTATATCATCAACACAATTAGATTTGTCATCAAGAGGAGTTGCTTGATCATAGGTATCATGAATTGATGGAATATAATTTTGTAGATTTTTAGCTTTTCTACGATTCATACCAAAAACTCCATCGTCATCATCATTATCATCGTCACCATCCGTAAAGATTTCATCATCATTCAATGCTGATGATCTTGATGCTGATGATGAGGATGATGACGATAGTTGAGATAATTTTTCCGGGTAAAAACTTCTTAATATTGAATTAAAATCTCGTTTATTCTCTGTTAGAATACTTGATTCAGAGCATCGTAGACCTTCTTCTGGACAAGGGACTACTTGAAGACTTTCTTCAGGGGATGCACAACGTGCACGCTTTAAATGACATTTATTACGAAATCGCCGGTAGCTTGCTGTACACAATGGACCACTTAAATAATCGGCTACACTGCATTTCGATCGACAAATACACTTTGGTTCATTTTTTATCACACGACAATAATGTCCTTCAGGGCATATATATCCTCTGCAGGTTGATGGGAGTTCTTTGTATATTTTTTGTAAATCGATGGGAAATGCAGCAACATAGCAAAAGGGAGAAAGAGAGAAAGAGAACATAAACAGTATAAGTAGTTATATAAGGTTACATAGCTTGATAAAAAGTTTACACACAATAATCTGGCACGTTGTTAAGGTCGATTTACCGAAAGCCAACATTCACAGGCCAGTACACTAACTTCAACAGTTGGGTACCTTTAGGGAGAAAGAGAAATCTTATTCACTCCTTATACTCCAGAATTCGTAAAATCTGCTCCACAGAAACAATCGGTAGTGAACTAAATAACCTCTGATTAAATCTCCTTAACAATGAATATAACCTCACCAGATTACTAGCTTGCTAGGCTACTAGCTTTCTAGTTTTCTAGCCGGTTCCAAGCCCGGGTAAAGAGGGAGGGTTGGGGCGTGGTGCTAGCAACTCCACCCCCGTAAAACAACCAAATCACTACAGAAACTTCAACGAATAAATATATTAAAAATTCTAAAAATATAGACAATAGCCTTATTTTTCGCTGGAATCGGGGAAGTGAAATGACGCAGGCTGGTGAAAGCCTTCGGGAAGCCAGTCAGCCGATGTGTCTTCTTTCGATGAAAGCAAAAGTAAGGATGGGTACCTGGAATGTTCGTACAATGTACGAAACTATACGGATCAGAAACTTGGAGGGTCACAAAGAGTATTTCCAAAAGGTTGCAGACCTTTATTAACAACTGTCTTCGCTTTATACTGAAGATCAATCAGATGGCCGGGCCGGAAAGAATCACCGACAAGGAACTATGGGAACAAACAAAGCAAGAACCAATCGCCCAACAAATATGCAGGAGGAAGTGGAGGTGGATCGGACACTCGCTGAGGAGACCGCTGGGTGACATCGCGTGCGTGTCAGGCCACTGCTCGAGTGGAACCCGACAGAATGAGAAGCGGCGAGTGGGACGTCAGTGCAAGGGTGATATGGAGGAGATCGTGTGAAGAGGAGTTGAAACAGTATGAACTAACATGGATGCAGATGAAAAGTACCGCAGAAACAAGACGGAAGCAAGTGGAGATGTGCAGCTGAAGCTCTATTTTCCACTAGGAACCCAAGGGAGCAAAAATTATAACAATGGATATCCTATAAGGTTTATTGAACGTAACATCAAGAAAGGATCCGCCCCTAGACAAATTACAGTACCAAAGAAAAAAATGTTTATGAGTCTTGCATTCAGAAGTAACACAATTTCGGAATTAATTAAAAATCGTTTATCTAAATGTGTTAAACGCACTTTTCCTGCAGCTGACTTGCAACTAGTTTTTACCAGGCGAAATATGATTAGACAATGCGTCAGGGATAGATTACCGTTTATGTCCACATCTATGTGAATTTACTCTTTTACCTGCTCCTGTGAAGTTGATTATATTAGACGTTGTAAGTGTACTCTCCGAAAACATGTAGCTGAACACTATCCGGCTTGGTTAATAAAAGGCGATTGTAGAACTGCTGAGTCGTCTATTTGTGATCACCTGTTAGAGTCTGGTCATTTAGCCCCGCATGATTCATCCTTCAAGGTTATCTATATGGCAAAATCGAATCGCTCCAAAAGTTTACGTTTTCTTCACTTGTGCATAGCTAGCCGAAGCTTTAGCTATACATGAGCGAAACCTAAATTATGTGTGTGTTGAAAAACGTTTTGTCAAACCCCTTTCTTCACCTTAGTCACAGTAATGTTCTTTCTAGTTTTTATTTTATTTTACCACTTGAATTCATTCCACTTCGCTTCACATCTTCATTCTTATCGTAATCGTACTCCTAATTTTTTTTAAATTTTTAGACAACACTTGACATTTTTAAAACATTTTTGATATCAATTCACTTAGAAAACAATCTTTAATAATTTTGTAATTTATCCACTTCAACTCTACCCCTTATAACATTTTAATTGCCGCTATTCTTGCCACTTATATATGTATATTGACTGAGCAATTATTTAATGCCACTTAATAACTTTTTCTATAATATAAATACGAAAATGAAGTCGTTGAAAAGAAAGCTCTTCGCTGAACAAAAAAAACTGTGTTTTTACTTATGAATAAATGGATATTTTCCATGAATAACCTGTAAACGAAACATTTAGGGTGGTTTTTGCGACCAGAAGTATCCAATAGAAACCTGTTAAAATATGGAAACTGTAAAACGTTGGTGTGCTCATATTCTGGGTTCATTAAGATCCTGACTGATAGTTGGTGGTCAGGTTAGAATATTGAAATGACCCAGCAAGCTACACTGGTTGGTACGAATGGTCCTGCAGCTACTTATTTTATGCCTTCACGTTCCCAGTGGAACATAAGGGACTTCAAGCTAGATGCTTGAAGTTTCAGTAGCATTGAAGTTTATTTTTTTACGGGATGGGGTTGCTAGCCACCTCACGCCTAGCCAGCCAGTTTGATTACTGGCTTAGCGAGGTAAAGTATTGCGCCCAGTGGCCGGACGTCAAACCCCGGGGAATTCTACCGCCACCGACGCTCTGCAGCTACTACTATGCCGTAAAGATTGTCTGAGACAAAAGACAGTCATCATCATAGTGTATGTGAACATGAATGTAGTGCCAGTAAGGCGTTGTCTCAGACGATCAGCAAACCAACTATGCTACCCAGGTGGGTTAAAAAAGGCTGACACCAACAAGTGTACATCGCGTCTTACTTTCAGGTGATTCAGAGCCGGTGGTTAGACCTTCCTAACGAAGTAAGCCACTTCAAACAGGCCGTATGTGACCTGCTCCTAGCAGATTGTCGGAACATAAGAATTTAGCTAAGGGAAGAATGGTTGACCGCAAGAAGATAAGTAATTTAGAGAAAAACTCAGCTATTGCACTGCATGCGTTAACACACAGCCACACACAGTATGATGGTAGAGGGTTAAAAGTTTAAAAAGTAATCTGTGTAGGTGGAGAGCGAGAGAGGTTCATCGAGTCTACACCCAACACAACACTTGCAACAGAAATGACTCAACGCAAATACCATAAATATGGAAGATATTATTACTGCCAGTGAGTCAGTCAAATCACAGGAGGATAATAAATAATCTTAAATTGTATTCTATTTCAATTCAAGCACATCACAACATTCTAACAAGTTATTTATTATTATGACTATAAAAACACTCGTCTTATTTCCCATCTGTGCCATCTGTGCGTCGGTGGCACAGTGGTTAGGACTCTCGCCGACCATGCACATGGTCCGAGGTTCGATCCCCCGCCGACGCACACCTGATATCTATGGTCGGCCTGCAAAATTTGGGCTACCGATATCCATGCTGAGAATTCCATACTTGTACCAAAAATACAGTGTGGAATCAAGCTGTAAATCAAAAAAAAAATAAAAAAAAATAAAAAAAATTATTAATACTTCTGAATATACATTATTTTATATTGATTTTATTCAAATGTCTTATCATCGATTTCACTCATGTATATAAATGAAGCAAGAAAGTTGTGTGAGTTGAGTGACTTGATATGATTATGAGTGGCAATAATTTGCGCTCAAAACGTGGTCATCAGTTAATATTACTGTATGACACTACACTGTATGACACTTTATCATAATAAAGTCTTATCCATAATGGAGTTATACTCTACCACCACATTGTCCAAGTTTTATACTTATGTCATCTATATGAACAATTACATATTCGTCTCACATCAACTGAATATCCAGGGCTTCGATTTCTAGGGGATTCATAAGCGCCTATTCTTCAAGAGTTTCAAACTGCACAATTTTCGTGTGTTCTTTTATTTGATACTTAGAAAATGCCAGAGAAGATTTGTAGCTCAGGTCGGTCAAGGCTGTGTGTTTCTTTTTTATGTCATTTAAGTCTAATGGGTTGCAAATAGTTGCAAATACGTCAAATAAATGTTATTCGTAATAATTTTAGATTAACTGAAATTATTATATTAAAAGTGATAATTATGAGATCTATCATTAAAACGCTTAAAGTTTACCCCTACGCTGAAATTATAGGATTCTTTGAGAATGAAGGAACATTTATATTAGAAAATATTGTTTATCTGTGTTTTTCAGTTAATTTTGATGACGAAAACCACTTAGAGTAAGTAGCATTCTGAATTAATGACTTGGAAATGAACTTCATTCATTTTGACGCAATAGGAGAAGAAACGAAAAGATTTTATTTTGATAAAGTCTCACACACAGTGTAGTGTTATACAATAATATTAACTGATGACCACGTTTCCAGTACAAATTATTACTGTAACTCATAATCATATCAAGTCACCCACTCACACAACTTTTTATATTATTATTCTATCCTTTAGTTCCTAAAGGAACATAGGGCTTCAGCTGCGCATCTCCATTGCCTTCGGTTTTCTGCCAACTTTTTCAACCCGCTCCAGGTCTGTCCACATGCTTTCATCTCCTCCTCGCATGACCTCCTCCAAGTCACCCTTGGACGACCAACTCGCCGCTTTCCTTTCGGGTTCCACTCGAGCAATGGCTTGTCTAGTGATGTCACTTGATGGTTTGTTTCCTCAGCGTATGACCAATCCATCTCCATTTCTTCCTGCCTATTCGTTCCACAATCGATTCCTGATTGGTTCGCTCCCAGAGATCCCTGTTGCTGATCTTTTCTGGCTGGCCATCTGATCTTGAGTATTGAGCGGAGACAGCTGTTAATGAAGGTCTGAAGTTTGTTGGAGATGCTCTTTATGACGCACTGGCCAAGTCTCTGATCCGTATAGTAGCACTGACTTTACATTGGAATTGAAAATCCGGATCTTATTTTTGATGCTGATTGCTGTTGACTTCCACACAGACTTAAGAGTAATGAAAGCTTGTCTTGCTTTTCCGTTTCTGGCTTTGATATCCTCGTCAGTTCCATCCGCCTGTAGTTGAAACGATGCTACCCAGGTAGGTGGGTAGGTAAAGGAGGTTGTTTCTTTCAGGTTCCTCCCATTTATGCTGGCTGATTGTTGTCTGTTGTTGTTGCTGTTTCTGTTG